TGTTGGAGTTTCTCAGAGTACAGTCGTTTAGCATCTCTCACCGCCTTGCTAAACTTGTATTTTGCCTCTGTGTACAAGTCTTTGTCCCCGCTTCTAAATGCCTGATCCTTCTGCAGGCGTAGTGTTCTGAGTTCCGCTGTGAACCAGGGTTTGTCGTTGTTGTAACTCACCCTGGTGCATGATGGTACACAGCTGTCCTGACAGAAGCCGATGTAGGAAGTTACAGCCTCTGTGAACTCATCCAGACTGTCAGTAGCAGTCCTGAAACCATCCCAGTCTGTGAGAGCCTTATGAATACGTCCATTTCTTTTACTGCATTAAACAATAGAATGATTTCACTTAGGAAACCTTTAGTTTTTGCAGCCGCTGAGATCTCATGAAGAAACGTCACATTTCTTCCTGCGTTTTTTACAGATGTTGATATTTCTGTGCTGCACACTGATGATGTCATAGTGACGTTTATTTAATCCATCACAAGCTCGTCCTCTTCTTCTTCTCCTCTTCTTCTTCTCAAGCGTCTTTGGGTACCAAGAAAAGTGCTATAAAAACTAAAGTATTATTATTATTTCTCATGAACGTTGCTGCCTGATCATTTGATGATGAAAGTAATCAATCACACGCGTCCTGATTAACAGCACAAACTAATCGATTACCGGCAGAAAGGACGTTTATTTAATCCATCACAACCTCGTCCTCTTCTTCTTCTCCTCTTCTTCTTCTCAAGCGTCTTTGGGTACCAAGAAAAGTGCTATAAAAACTAAAGTATTATTATTATTTCTCATGAACGTTGCTGCCTGATCATTTGATGATGAAAGTAATCAATCACACGCGTCCTGATTAACAGCACAAACTAATCGATTACCGGCAGAAAGGACTCTTGTTCTAATGACTTGTGACTTGTACGTAACGTATATTAATAATCTTTATTCAGATACGGATATCAGCTGTAGGTCACATTGTTAAAACTGTTTCCCCCCCAGGACCAAACATGAGGACGCTTTCACCAACAGCACCTTCATTTTATTGTTTTAGTACCAAATGTTCATTGTGTGAAGTGAGGAATAACGGAAGAATGAACCAGATCTTTTCTCCAGCTCTCTGATACATGGAGCATATGTATTAGTTTCTTAGTTAAATATTATATAAGTGATGCATGAAAGGAAAAGGGTGAGAACGTGAACGTTTGAAGCTGTGAAGATTATCTGATGAATAAAACCTGTAAGATTGTGTCACGTTCCAATTAATGAGAAGCAGCCAATTGTGACGCAGAAAAGTCCCAGCTAGAGGAGGACACGCAAACCCGTGAAGCGTTCCTCGTTGTCTTTAGTTATTAATTATGATTTTCTATGGTTATTAAACCATTAAAGACGTTGTGACTTGTGGTGAAACGGCGCCACCGCGGCCGCTGTCGGTACTGCAGCAGCAGAGCGGCGTCTCCCTGTGAGTTAAAGTCTTTATTAAACCTGTCCAACCTCAACGGACACCACTGTCTTCTGAATAATAAACATGTCTGTCCTCATCCCTTCATAATGAGAGTCTCTGTCCTCTCCACCAGACCTCCTTGTAGAAACATCTCGTTTTAGCAGCTCCGTTCACCGGAATATGGAGGAGAAACACACAGAAACGGAAGCGAAAAGACTCCGAAGGCTCGTGTTGCTGTAAACGTCTTCCGGATGTAAGTTAGTTCAACGTGAGAGCCGATAAACCGCTACGGTCTCCTGATGAGAAAACATGTCCAAAGGGCTCAGAGTGTGATTGTTATCAGACACGTTGGTTCTTCAGGTGATTTCGTGTTGCCGAATAACAGATGAGCTCCGCGTGGTTCGCAAAGGCTCTTCTACTTGATGTTAGTGGTGATGTTTGGGCCGGTTAGGCAGCAGCGTTTGTTTAATTCAACCCTTTCTGAACAGAGTTCTGCAGCACACGTCACCGTCAGGCTGAGCGCTTATAAGCAGCTGCTTGGTTTGCCCACGTGGGGGCGCTGTGGCCCACGTGGTCACCGGTTAGTTCTGTGACGTCACATAAGTGCGTTTTAAGTGTTTCAAAGACACTAGAACACAACACACTGAACTAAACCAGAGACGTGTGTGGGACAACGTCCTGTAAGAGGACAACGAGGGAACTCGTGTTGATGTCCAGCAAGGGGACGTTGTCCCTCCAGATGTTAGTCCATCGTGTTCAGAGGCGCTGACGTTCTCAGTGAACTACAAGCAGGAAGTGAACTAATCCCACATGTGCTGCTGCTCGATGACTGAACCCGTTGTTGTGAACAAGAAGAGGCTCTTTAGTCACCAAAGAACAACAGTTACTTCATTATCGTGGCTCCACTGACCTGTGATTGACAGGTGACATCACGTCACTACCTGAGTTAAGACAATGACGTCACTACAAGGCTTACCGGTACTTGAGCTCATCTGCATGGCCTCAGCGCGCTGCATCGTGCCGCCTTCATTCACGTGTCATTCAACATGATTGACAGCTGTATGAACAGCAGCTGAGGGGCGCGGAGACGTTCCTGCAGCAGGAAGAACGGAGAGAACTCAGAGCACCAGTAAAGGTCTTCAGGGAGCCCCGGTGGTGGAGCTCAGTGGTTCCATTAGCGCCTCGGTCCAGGGGAAGCTTCAGGAGAACGGCTGGTCATGGACGGGTAATAAGCAGCAACAGAAACATACGAGAAGACTGTCCACAGCTGCATCATGAGGGACCTCTGTCCTCGTGTCCCCTGTTGACTGGACGACACGTGGAAGCAGCTGAAGGTCCTGATCTCCACGCTGCTCGTATTAACCTCCCAACGTGGGGCCCTTTCTCAACGATAGGACGCAGAGGACGGACTTGCGTTCTGGGGAGAACAGACTCGGGGGTCCTGACTCACGGGGACAACAGAGGACGCTCATTTCATGGGACAGCAGCTGCCTCGATGACGTCAGCTGCTCTGAAACATTTGAATACGCTTCTTGACTGTCGGGTGTTTAACTATCACGCTTTTGTTTGCTTCTCATTTCAAATAGAAACGCTGTGTGTGACGGAGCAGCAGAGGAAACTAATTCAAAGTAAATATAAATATCAGACATGAAAGTGTCTCAATGGAGCAGATCAGAGTTGTTAGAGAAGAAAAGCAGCTGCTGAACTTTACTGGACTATAATACTGGATGTTGGACGGAAGAAAGACATAAACAGTTACAAAGGTAAACCTTTAATTCGGGGCTGTTGTATTATAATATTAATGAGTTGGGTAGTGATTCATATTGTATTGATCAATGAGGCTGTAGGGGAACTCTTACGTTGTCAAACGTTGGAATAAATAGAAACCGTTTCAAACATGTGAGCAAGCAGCTGACACACATGAAAGATCCTACAGAGCACAATTCAATCCTTCTTCTTTGGAAAATGTTATATTTATTTATGTTATTTATTAGTATTACAGTTCAGAGTCCTTCAGGACGTCCTGCTGCCCGGCCTCATGTCCTTTACTTAAAACGCGTCAGTTTTAATGCACAATGAGACAACAAACCTGCACACTGTGGATACAGACAAGACGTGATGTTCAATTTAAACCCTGTGACCTCAAACACACCAGATGTTACCAGTGAACCCTGGAAGCATCTGTTAGGGGTCTCTGAGGACCCCCAGTGGGAGAGGAGGCCCAACGGGCCCCCAAATAATCCCTGGAGGACAAAGTCCATCTGAGCAGTGACAGACACGGCGAGGCGTCCATGTTGACCCTTCAGGTGACAGCGCTGTCACCTGATCTGCTGACAGACTTCACACTGGAAACATGTCAATGCGTCCATGTAGAGATCAACACGTCTTTATTCAAACAAGTCAATCAAAGAGCATTAATCACACTTATTAAACACCACGTCCTCTTGTCCCTCCTCACTCAGTCCCACTCCAGACTTCTTCCTCCATCTTGCAGCCTCCTCCTGCGGTTGAGCTGGTCATTGACATGCGGCTTCTCTCTGGTCACGTTGTTGAGGACAACATGAGAAGTGAGCATCGTTTCTTTACCGAACCATTTGCATTTAGCAGAAGTGCTTCTGCTGTTGACGGATCGGCGTGTGGACTGTTTGTATGAGCTGCTGTCTCACTCTTTGACATGTGACTCAGTTCCTGATCAACAAGAGAGCTGTGAAAGGTGTGGAGAAGATGCGTCACCAACGGCACGTCATCAACTGGATGCTGCATTTCACAACCGCATGGTTTCACTTTCAATGTCACCGTAATCAACACATTAAGGAGCCGCTTCCGTTTCTAGAGGATTCAAAGACAATCCCTTTTCCCGAGAGTCTTTTATCGGCGTGTGGGAGTCAAACCCCCGACAGTGAAACACACATAGAGGATCACTTCACTTCTACAGCTGTGAGTTCCCTTTCCATGAAGAACTGTGCCTGTAAACGCACTGTATTTATTCCCTTTCTTTCTTTTGCTGGCAAAGCAATTGTTGGTTCACATTTTCATGAACTTCATTACAGTTTGATCACAACTTAAATCCCCTACGGAGCCGAGGCTGCCTGAGGAATCAGGAATATATATAATAACTTTGTCTGCTTCCTACTTTAAAGTATTCTGTCTTCATGTCCACTCAAAGCACCTTCAGCAAGGGCTGTCCCCCACATGCGTGTCCTTTGTCTAGTGTCCTTAAAACGCCACAGAGACACAGTTGTGTGTCTGTTTGTAAGGATGTCAGAATATCTCAACATTGGACACCGTGCACACGTTTGACACTGTAATAAAACACTGTGAGCAAGTGCACAAGGAGGTTGTGTGGGAGGAGCAGACTGTCCCATGTCCCAGGGGACAAAGAGACACATCTGCTGCTAAGCTGTCAGAGCAAAACAAGGGAGGCGGAGTGAGAGCGCTGCTGCACCATCACAGCGGCCTCGAGGGGCGAAGAGCAAAGAGGAAACCCTGAACACCAGTCCACAGCACTACAGAGAGAACGGCCCCCCCTCACCCACTGAGGGACACCGTGCACATCAGGAGCCGCAACGATGTCCAAAAAACAGGCGTTTAAAAAGGGCGGCAGTGCTACTTTCTGCATGGACGGCTTCAGCTTCACCATTGGTGAGATGCTCTTCGTTTCAGTGTGTGTGTGTTACTCAGCTTCATTGTGTTCTATTTGTAGCCGTTTACCTGCTTCATCTTCCTCCGTCTGGATGTAGCGTGTCCTTCAAGACAAACACACAAAGTGAAACTATGTTTTTGTAATGACGGCTTTAAAGCAACATTTAGTGACTTCAATGAAACGTCTCACTGTCTCTTGACTGTAGAACACGAGACATAATCTACATGTCCTCAAGGAGACAAGTCCTGGCTCGACTGCTTTCTGTCCCAACATGTTTTACTGGGTTACAGCCACATGCCTCTGAAACAGCTAATAGGATGTTTAGATCAGACAGTTTGATTGTCAACGTGTCACTGGCAGTGATTGACAGCTGTGTTGGAGACTCCAGGCTCTGATTGGTGGCTTTCCTTTGGGCGCAGTGAAACGTGCCAAAGGCCATTAGGAGCACTAAGCGCAGGCCGAGCATCCTGATCAGCATCACTTTTGCCTTGTTGACAAGTCGTCTTTTCCTCCTGCAACCAGCTGACAGCAGCTCCAAGAGGAAACGCTTCCCCACTTTGTGTCACGCTCCTTATTTGTCCCCGATGGCACGGCCGCAGTAGGAACTGCTCCAGGAGACATCGGGATGGACTGAAGTCCACAGCCGGCCTCATAACTGCCGACGTAGCCAGGCCCACTGTGAAGAGGGCGTAGTTACTGTCTGATGGAGTCTATGTGATGAATACGGAGAACAGCACACAGCGTCGTGTTTACAGGCTGCTGTCTCCATGGCAACCAGGAGACTGGGAGGTGACGTCATGTCGACTGGTGTGTTGTCAGTTGTTGGGCAACGGAGCTCAGGGAGTCATTGTCACTAATGAAGTGGCTGCTTCTTGATGTCCTCCTTCACTTCCTGATTCCAGCTGCACCCCCATGACGCACACACACACACACACACACACACACACACACACACACACACACTGATCCTCTGACCAGTGGCTCTGGGTTGGGAAGGTCAGGTGTTGACCTTGTTGACATGTTTCCTTTTACTGATTGTATACTTATTCTTATCACTTGGTTGGAAACACGTTTCACACACAAGCAAGTTTACTTCCTCGAGCGGCTGAACAACACAAACAAAACGTGGGGCTGCAGGTTGGCGTCTGTGACTAAACACAGGTTGGGTAGAAGTATCCTGGGAATGAATGAGGTCACTAAAGTGGACGTGACTTTAGAGACAAATGTCCCCACACTGTACCAGGTGGACCAGGAGAGTAAGCACAGTGTGTGTCCCCAGCACCGCGCTGTCATTGGACAATAGAAGTCATGCTTATTGGACCCAAATGACCAGTAAGAATGTCAAATGACAGAAATTCTCCTTCTTTTGTCCAGTTGCCAACGAGGCGGCGCCGAGCTCCCGCTTTCCACCGGCCCACTTGACACGTGAGTTCATCCAAATTGTGTTTCAAACAGTGACCTCTGTAATGCAGGTAAATACCGTGTGACGGGGGCTTCTGTCCACACGTGAGGGGCACATGTACATGTGACCCGCCATGAATACGTCCCCTGCAGAAGGGGACACTGCTGTCGGCCGAAGTCCAAACAGTCGCACAACTGGAGGCAACAACAAGTCGGCCAGAAAACTCTACTGATTCTGTTCAGACTTCATTCTTTAACTATCCCCACTTTCTTTGTGCAGCATCAGGATTTGCTCCTCTGATGTGTGTGTTTTCCAGCAGTGGGTCTAAGCCTCCTTTGTAGTTGACACATCTTTTTCCTTCAACTGTGTTCACTCCTCCGTGTCCATTCAAACACGTCCTCGTCTCTCCGTCTTACGGCCGACTGCGTCAATGACTTCGGTCCCTGATGGATTAAAACATGGACGCTGCACACGTGGAAATGCTAGCAGGCGCTTTTGTGTCCATCGTTCAGGCTCACGGTCCCAGAATGCACTGCGCACTGCCGTCCCAGCTGCTGTTGGCATCACTGAATACAAAGGAGTTCAGGATGAAGAGATCCTGAAGGATGAGCTGCCGGTCCTTGGTGCCCCGGACACCATGGAGAAGACTGCCAGCAGGTCACACACACACACACACACACACACACACACACACACACACACACACAGTGGCCTTTGCTTCATGTAAATGTATCAGTCACGTGCCAAATGAAGCAGTGATGAAGGGAAACGTGGAAGAGGAGCTTTGCTTGCTGCCTTTGCTAAACAGATGGTGTCCTTTACTTTAAGTTTTACTCGCCACACATAGAACAGGCTTTACACTTCCTTTCATGGCGTTCTAGCCAATTGTTTAGAATGTGTTTTGAGACGGGACTTCAACCCACAATCTATGTCCACTGAGTGAGACAGAACCCAGTTAGAAAAGAGTGCTGCAGATTTCTTTGCAGTGACATTAACTGTGAAACTGCTGATTTGACTTTGACATTACCAACTGCACTGCCATGTAATATGGGCGCACGTATTATACAGCCCAGATTGTGCTAATCACTCCCAAACCATCTGTGGGAGATATATTCTATCTATAGATTGTACAGCTCCCCAGTCCAGCGGTTGGGACGGTCTGAATGGAGGGCAGATGCTGCTGGGCCTCTATGTGTTGCAGGTTGCGCTGTCTTGTGAAGCAGCTGGAAAGGGGGGAGGCATCTGTGGTGGAGCTGAAGAGAAACCTGGACTACGCCGCCTCAGTCCTAGAAGCTCTGTGCATTGAGGAAGCCAGGCAAGAGATTTCACTTCTGCTTTTCTCAAATTATCCATGAACATGAAGAAAAAGGGATTTTAAAATGATTTTCTTGAATTCTTTCACGATCGGCAGCTAAATAGACCTTTGAGCAGAGGTGGAGGAGCACGTAGAGAAATGGCCAAACGCAAACGTTTGTCCTAAAAAACAAACCTGTGGAGCAGAGGAGTCCACAAAAGGTACAACAATCCAAAACATCCAAGGGGAAACATTGAAGTGTAAAAGCAGAAAGCAGGGTGAGGTTCAGGTTAACACATCATCCTCATGCACGCAGGACTTTATGGACACAAAGGGTTTCTTCCCGTCGGCAGTCGGCTCATCAACAGAGCGCGGCTCCCCCAGCGTTTTAATGGCACACGGTACTGGGCCATTCCAGTAGCACGGTGGCTTCCTCACTCATTTATAAATCACAACGGGATCATTTACACACAAGCTACATCGTCTTAAGCATTTTGAAGCTAAAGTAAAGCACTCTAAATATCTTAAGACTATATTAACTGCAATACCCCGTAAATTGGTGAAAGGCAATTAAATATTCTATGGTAGTAAGTAAGATTGTCAATGGATGATAAATAAATGATAATTACAATATACATTATCATTCATTCATATTATTATACTACTAATTAGTATTTAAATGATTCCATTAAGTCTATGTGTATGTTTTAGTAATATATTTAATTGAATGAGTAACTCGTGGCTCAATACGGTTTCCAAGTTTCTAACCCAGAATTGTTTAAATTATTGCTGCACAATGTTGCAAGCCTTATTCCTTATAGGACAGTGGGACCCTGGACCAGCAGGCAGTTACTAGTTAGTTACACAAAAGATGGCTGACCTAAAGGTAAACCAGTAGTCAACTCTTGTCTTGTGGAAGTTGTAACAAAATGACGGCAGGACGTTTCAGTTAAATGTGAATGTGTCTGAACGCCGGTAAATACGCGTCACATCAGCCACGTGGTCAACGTGTGACACAATCGGTTGGGAAAATCTGACAAGCCGTGTTCTACACAATAATTGAATTGTGTGCTCATCGAGTAGTGAATAAGACAATCCTTCAATTTGTTGATGAAGATCATCAATCAGCAGCTTTGGCAAGAAGGTGTGATCTTTTTCATGGCTTTTAGTCTGATGCGTGTCTCCTTGCAGGCGGCTGGTGGATCCAGAGGACCAGCTGGGTGACATCCGGTCGGACTCGGTGCCGTCAGAGGTTCGGGACTGGCTGGCTTCCACTTTCACCCGGCAGACGGTTGTGATGCTGCGCCGTAACGAGGACAAGCCACGCTTCCGTAGCATCGTTCATGCAGTGCAGGCCGGCATCTTTGTGGAGAGGTTTGGCTTGTTTGGTGTATTTGATGCAACAGTCATCTGGAATATTAGGCCCTTCATAGTTGTTTAATCATGATGTGTGATGTTTGTTTCAAGGTTTTCCCATTTAACATGAATAATATAACACAGATAACATAAAGGGTTCATTGGTACTAATAATAATAAAACTCTGCATTATCCTCGTAGCTGAATAGGGTCCAAATATGGTGGACTCCACTGGGTGATTGTTTGCTGTTAATGGTCAAAGCCAGCAGGGATACGTGTTACTTGTACGTGGTGCAACTAAGCCAATCAAATGTCCTCTTAGCCAGCTCAAACTAACCCGCTGATTGAAATCATGCTAGCTGATCCAGCTTAATGTCATCAACTGGAACCAGACGTCAGTCATCAGGATAATTGTGTGTCCGCGACCTACTTCAAAAGGGGGAAGAGTCGATCAAATCGACTCAAAGGAAGAGGCTCTTTTTTCTCCGCTGACGAGCAGGAGGGGATTATGAACGCACCATATAGAACTAGGAGTTTGAATATGTGTGTGTGAATCAGCATGTGTGTGTATTCCCTCTATTCTTATCATGAGTCCACCTTAATCATATTCTATAAAGATGATAAGCTCCGTAATGAATAGTGATAGGAACGCCTTTTCAATAAGTGATGAAACACTGAATGACTCAATTACCTGCAGTTCCATAAAAGCCCTCTTTGATTGCATTTACTGGGACATCGGCAGGGAATGTAATGAACCATCCAGAAGTTTCTCAAGCACCAAATAAACCTAAGGAACAGCGCGGCGTGCAGCGGCTTTCCCCATGTTCTCCGCATCCCAACAATGTACACAAATGCACCGGTGAGACACATCGTCCTGCCTGGAATGCAAGGACTCGATTGGTCGATTGGTATCACGTGGGACGACTTAACTCTGGACATAATGGCGAGGGACACTTGTTAGGATTTTATCAACTACTATCCATACTGCTTATCAGTCAGGTTCCTTATTGATACTATATGAATTATTTAGTCACAAATAGAAGATTAAAAAAAATCCACATTGCTTAATTTATTCCCTGTTGCTGGTAGCGTGAAGGGACTTGATGTGGGACCAGGAACGGTAGAGGGGGGGTTGGACGTGCTGGGTCATAGCTGCAGCCTCAGCCCAAAAACTCTCCATCACCAAAGCCATTATCTTAAGTTCCTCTCTAAGTTTTTTTGTCTTATACAGAGAACTCTTCCCTTGAACTCAGCCGTCCACCTTTTAAAGCATGTCCACAAAAATAATAAGAAAACTGTATCCAGTTCAGCAAGAAAGGGACAAGTTGTGAGACGCTGTAAGGACACAGAGTCAAGGACATAATGCTCAAACATAGATATTCAAATTATATTAAAAGCCCCAGTGGGCGATATTCCACTGGAGTCAGTGGAAGTGGTGGTGGATGGTTAGAAGTCTTGTGAGTTTACAATCAGCCAATTAAACGTTAAACATTGAACCGCCCAAAACCGATGCTCAAAAGGAACTTAAAGCATCATCATTTTAGGCTTCCTCTAACACACTAAGGAAGCATCGGTATTTGACCAGTAATAAGCAAGAATATGTGCACTGTGTATTTTAAAGCTCAGCCAATGTGGTATCCAGCTTCTTGCTGTACAGAAATAGGACTGTGACATGAAATAAATAATCATCCAGAAACTCAGAAGACTGAAAATGTGACCAAGTTACAAGACCCACTGCTCACGTATAACCTATTGCTAATGTAAAGTCTGCAGAGACGAGACAGTGACACTGTGTTATGGAATGTGTCTGTGTTATATCTCTGTGACAGGATGTACAGACGGACCTCCAACATCGTCGGTCTTAGTTATCCACAAGATGTCATCACTGTTCTTAAGGTATTCATTTGTGTTTGTTTAAAGTAGAAAGGTTATGATCAGGGAAGGGAAATGAAATTGGTCCAAGTACAAAACCTTGTGGGACTCCGTGACCACCGTGGTCATCAAGGATTCACCGTTTACAAACACAAACTGGGATCAATCTGATAAATACAACATAAACCAGCTGAATGTGGTTCCATTTGTGTGGAATATTGCTATATTTCTTAGCAGTAACATATAAACTGATCTCAACACACAAATCCATAGATTTTGCAGGTGCAGGATAACAAAAGAAGTTCCCACACACACTGCTAGAATTCAATAACGAGTTCCCAGTTGTTAAATTCTATATCAGTACAAAATCCTCAAGACTAAATTGTAACTGGTGTTTTTATGTTTTCTTATCGATTGTACCTTAACAAAGGAATCCTAGAAATGAACAGTTGAACCGTTATGTGGACATTCACGTGCTAATAAAGCTTCTGTTTTTCTTTTCTAGAATGTGGACGTGTGGTCTTTTGATGTGTTTGCACTGAACGATGCTAGTGGGGACCACGCTCTGAAATTTGTCTTCTATGAGCTATTCACCAGATATGACTTGATCAACCGTTTCAAGGTATGTTCATTTTGAGAAGACGCTGTGTATGTAACGAGCACAATGTCAGTGACAACAGAACTAAGTATTGATGGGAACGTACTGGGTTCAACATAACAACTTCTCTGTATTGCTTCTACAATTCTGCAAAGCAACTGGTTGTTCCTTGTCTTCTGTTGAAGGTCCCTGTTTGTGCCCTCATATCCTTCGTGGACTCGTTGCAAGTGGGCTACAGCAAACACAAGAATCCCTATCACAACCTGACGCATGCGGCTGATGTCACACAGACCATTCATTACCTGCTCCTCAAGACCGGCATGGTGGTACGTTCAGGGTTGGGTAAAAGCACAATGCAATACGCTTTTCAAAAGTGCCTGCAGACTTCCTCAGTGGATCTTACAAGTCATTCATCACAGCTTTCCTACCTCAAAATCCAATCGGGACAGGATGAATGATGACTGACAGGTAGATAATAATGATGCAATAGCAAAGTTAGTGTTGTCTCTGACTGTAAATGGATGAAAGGCTGCATGACAAACTGGAGCTTTAAGTGACTTTGCTGACTTTTATTGATGTAGGTTGTTACAGCAAAGAAAGAACAACCTAAAACCTAAATGAGACTCCTTCTCAGGTAAGCAAGGCCGCAATAAACAGAGGCCCACGGGGCCTTTTTCAAGCCCCTCTCCCAAGCACAAGCACCACCCAACTTAATTTGCGTTGAAATAATGCATCAACAATCCCTCATGGCGGCTGTCAAGGGACTATAGCAGCACCACATGTACAATGCAGACATTGTGTTATTAAAAGGTACAAGCCCCGCCTCCACGTACCTGTGGGTCACTACGGGGGTCAGAAAGCTGCATGGGGGCAAGGCCGGGGCTGGATGGGACTCGCCGTCAGTCTACATGTGCTTTGTGGACGGAGAAGGCTTTTGACTCTCCAGTTGGTGACTTTCATGGACAGGATATCTAGGCGCACCCGGGGGTGGAGGACCTCGGGTCGGGGGTCTCCATCTCCTCTCTGCTGTTGCTGATGTGATGTTGTCCAGTTGGCCTCCTCGCACAGTGACCTCCAGCACTCAGTGAGGCACTTTGCACCAGATCCTCTCGGTGAAGAGCTCTATTTGCTTTCATTTGAGTTGAGGTTCTACTGGAAAACAACCGAGGTGGTTCAGGCACACTGACAACTGGCAAAGAGACTCTGTTTCACTTCCAGCAGGAGAACCGCACAACGTTAAGCAGGACGGTTTTTTAATCTTCATCTCCCGATTGACACGTTCCTCCTCGTCTGTCCGCCTCTCTCCTTCAGCACTGGCTCAGTGAGTTGGAGATCTTTGCCATCATTTTTGCAGCTGCCATTCATGACTACGAGCACACAGGGACCACCAATAACTTCCATATTCAGACAAGGTAATTCCCACGTAGCATCGTTTGTAGCATTTCAATCCCTGCAGTCTCTGAGGACAGTGGACAACACTGGAGCATAAAGAGATATCTAACAGGTGACCTAATGAAAAGCCGACTATGAATGATAGCAGCTTTACCTCATACATTGTTGGCATTATCACGATGACGGTGAGGGAGATCATTCCTGAAGTAGCCGTGTCGCATTTGCAGGTCAGACACCGCCATGTTGTACAATGACCGAGCTGTTCTGGAGAACTACCACGTCAGTGCTGCATATCGCCTTCTACAGCACAGTGATGACATGAACATTCTGTCTAATCTCTCCAAAGACGAGTGGAGGTAAGAGAAGAGCGCTGCAGCTGAAGGGACGTCCTTTTTTACCGCTGTTTCCATTCAATGACTTCAAATAATAATTCACTGTACAATACAACCCCCAGATTACAGTGCAAATCATTGCTTCTAAATACTGCCTCCTACTGGTGCTTAGAGGGAGCTACAGCTGATGATACCAGGGAGTAACACATCACCTTATTTTACAGTCAAGCAGAATCAAATGACTCCTATTTTAGGGACAAGTTGAGTAGTTTGGGGCAGAGTTGCATCGATCTGGCACTGCATTGCTGCAGAAATATAGAAGTGACAGCAACAGGATGAAAGCATCTCAGTCTCCTCTGATTAAACTTTCCCCAAGCTTCATCTCAGATTCATTCTGTAGGGAGCATGAATGTTTTACTGCCTGCCCTCTTTCAGAGAGCTTCGAGCTCTGGTGGTGGAGATGGTGTTGGCCACAGACATGTCCTGCCACTTCCAGCAGATCAACGGGATGAAAAGCCACCTGCAGCAACATGAGGCGTGAGTGTTTCACGTCTGGGTCCGTCCCGCCTCATGCTGCCAGTCACTCCAGTCCTTCACAATGCTGAAACTATCAAACCATGATTGTTTCTGCTTTACAACCCTTCACGCGCCGCGTCCACTAACTGCACTGGACTTGCAGGCCCGACAAAGCAAAGGCCTTGTCCCTGCTACTGCACACTGCTGACATCAGCCACCCTGCCAAACGCTGGGACCTCCATCATCGCTGGACCACATCCCTTCTGGAGGAGTTCTTTAAACAGGTGACCACTTTGAATCAATGAGCGGCCTTTTCATTTATGCAGTACTCCACATGGCTCTGCACTAGTGACGAATAAGAAGAAGACAAAGTTTGGACCTAGTTTGTTTTCAGAGGTAAAATAAGCAGACGAGTACTCTGGGTGTAACATAAGACAAACCAGCTCTACCGCTCGCAGCTCACCACCTGCTAACAATAGTTGATTGTATACATTCATTAGAATAAGGTTTAGTCTTTGTACATGTGAATTAGTAATGAGGTAATAGAAGATGGTCAGCACCTTCTGGTGGACTTGTCCTCCAGTAGCAGGCAGTCAGTGGTTGTTCATGTGAGACAATGACTTAGGAGGAAGGCGTGTAGGGAGGGGAGGAGATGAACTGTGGCTGAAAACATGTTGACAGTCCGAATACACTCAGCGAGGAAACATTACAACAACAGGATGATTTTACATGTAGTCTGAAGTGCTGAAGCAGCCATGTGGGTCCAGATAAGATCATTGGTCACACTGAGACAATCTTAAGTACAAAAGGAAGAGATACTAACTAATAACACTGCGGAGGTGCTACTGAAGTAACATGTACTACATGTAAAGGCAAATCCACATTCTATGTACAAATGACACACTGGTATAAGACGTGTTGAGTTGGTGAGCCTTGATGGCAGCACCTTGTAACGCTGCTTTGTCTACTCGTTTTTAGGGGGATAAAGAAGCGGAGCTGGGTCTACCGTTCTCTCCTCTCTGTGACCGCAAATCCACCATGGTGGCACAGTCTCAGATTGGTAATAGAATAAGAATCATTTACACCACAAAGCTGCTTGTTTGTTTATCTGCTATCTAATGAACAGTCTGGTCCAGTGTACCTCTGTTATGGAAACCGTTACCGGTTCCCAGTATGTCGATTCATTTGGGAGAAAAGTTCAAATGTTTATACGCTGGACCAACATTCGTATCTAGTTGTTGTGCGTGTGGAAGTAGCATGAAAACTAAGTGATTATTTAGTTACTATCAAATAGTAAAAACATGTCAACACAAATTAGAATCAACAAGGTGAAGTGAATCTGTTAAGTGGGCGTGTCTTCCGTATCCGGCAGGATTCATTGACTTCATCGTGGAACCAACATTTACAGTGCTGACAGAAATGATGGAGAAAATTGTGACTCCGCTTGTTGAGGAGGCATCGCGATCTGGAACGGCTGCCTTCAGACGCTGGAGGTGACAAACAGAAGATTACAAACACTTATTTTAGATGATCCTGTGGTGTAGATCAGCCGTCCCCAACCTGCTCCCGTCTTCCCCTCACGGACCATCGGCTGACGTCCTCATCTCATCAGATCGCTATTACCAAGACAGGAAGTCACAGATAGAAACTAAAACAGACCTTCAAAAGGCCCAGTTTCAATTGTTTCCATGTGTCTATTCTGGGCCACCGTAGGAACATGACCACCCCTCCCTAGATAGTTTTAACACTATTAAAAACCATTATATAGTAAGAATCTATTCAATTTCCATCATCAGATCCCCAATACGCTACACACTGTTTATTTAAGGAAACTAGTACTTCAATACACTATAACCTTAAGCATGAACAGCACGGCTGCATTATCATCTAAACACGCTAGGAAACAATATTTACATCCGTTTACATGTCAACACGTTGATGCTTTTACTTTGAAGGGTGATGTTGACGGTGTTGCTTTGTCCAATAAGAGGCACCAGCTTTCTACCTCAACACGTCTGACAGGATGTGTGTTTGTGTGCACGTGTCTACACTGTCCACAGTGACCACAGTGTCAGTGGCAGTGATGGAAAGAGGTCCAGTGTGAAGAGTACAGGCTCAGAGGGCAGCTGCTCTCTGACCACGGTGGACTTCAAGGGCTTCAAGGTCACATGGAACAAGGAGATTCACCACAACAGGGAGACGTGGAAGGCCCAGGCAACCAAAGGTGCCCATACTTACCACCTGGTATCATCTGTCACTCTCTACAGGGCTCCTTCCAGTCCGGGGGGCCACATTATCAAACACACATCTGAGAAGCAGCTAAGCGTATTAGCTGTGAGAAGACATTGTAGCACTGCTTACTTTATCATGCCCTTATTTAATACATGCATGTCCATGGACTAATTACCTTATGACAAATACAGGTACAGTCTGGGTTTTACTTCCTTCTGATAATCATATGAATCAGCCTGTGAGCAGCAGCAGCTTCATCCTAACGTCTTCTGAGTGCTGCAGTGATGTCAAATGAAGCAACATCATAGAGAATATTGCTTTTGTTAATGCGTGTTTGTGTTCTGGAAGACCTGGAGGAAAAGGTCCAGAAGGAGGCAGGGGAGAGTGGCCGGCAAGAGAAGGACACAGCAGAGGAGACACAGCCAAAGAGACACAATTCAGGACAGGAGATGAAGACAGATGTGGAGGGTCAGGTGGTGTTGGAGAGCAGGGTGCAGCAGGAGGTACAAACGCCCAAAGAGGAGGAAGGAGGAAATAATCCAGGTAGACCTTCAGCATCAGGCCCAAAGAACACAGAGGCAAAGCCTGAGGAGCACACTGAGAAGCAGCCGTGCCACAATGGTAAGCATCCCCACAGTATAAAAGCACTACGTGTCCTTAGTAGTACTGTTCTCAGGTACACTAAAACTTACTAAATTAGTAAAAATTCAATAAGAAATACTGTAAAAAGGTATCAAAAACGCCTAAAATACTAATTTGTAGTTCAATATTCAACATTTACATACAAACTTGGTTAATACAAGTGTAACAATCTTATTGTTTATTGTTTCACCCTCGTATATCAATCAAAAGTTAAAAAGCAATGGCACCTGTTGGCATCTGGCAGGTTCCTGTTTATCAGCAGGTAGAAACATTAAATTATTCAAATTAATAGTATTTAACAAATAATAACGGGGCACCATCCTGGGATCAGGGGCCAATAACCAGACTATAAATGAATTGTCTCACTGTTGGTGTTCACCCAATGTGTCGTCAATAGTCAAAGTTCTGTTTGAAGGTTTGAATTCGAGGACCAGATCATTATCAGAAATTTTAATAGTAAAAAGATGCTCTTCCTTTGCGTTTATTTGCCGTTATACTGTTAAAAAATCCTGGTTTTGGTGATCGATCCTTCTGACGTAGGACGTGCACGCGCGATTATCCTGATGACTGACATCTGGTTCAAACTACCGAGACTGTTTGAGCGCCGATCAGCCTTTGAGGAACCGAGATGCAAAAAATGACCTATTTTTGTTTGGTTCGGCACCATTCTCAACTCCGTTGTGCGTAAAGGAACCTCAGCTACCAAACAAGGCTCTTACCTCTCTACTACGGACACCCCTCGTAAGACACTTTTATTCTTTACCTAAGATCCACAAACCACCGAAATCAGGGCCCGTTCTCCACAGAATGCCTCCAGGCCGCCTGTAGTCTCTGACTGTAATCCAAACCAGACCAGGAGATCCTAAAGCTTTTTCAGGGTTTGGGTTCACGTCCTGTTTTATTTTGTAGTTTTATGCCTCTTGTATCCGTGGGTAACTTCACTTCCTGCCTTGTCCTGTCATCCCCTGTGATTGTCTGATTGTTTCCACCTGTGTCCAATGACCTGCACCTCCCTAGTGTATTTAAGCCACTTGTCGCGTCATTGTTGAATGTCCGGAAGTCCATGTCTGAGTTTCCCTGGTTCCTGTCGCCGTTTTGGCCCCTTTTTTGCTTTTGGAATTTTTGACCATTAATGTCTCTTTGTTTTGTGAAACTCTGCGTTTGAGTCCTGCCTTTTGCCATCCTGACAGAATGACGGATGACCTTTCAAGGACTCAGCAGAGTTTTTTCCCCAGAACCAGTTGTGGGGAACTCGTGGGAGAACGCCTAACCAGCAATGACTTTGACATTAATGGCCAACAGTACCTACAGATTAGTGGAGCAGCCATGGCAAGTAATTTGCCCCAGCCTATGCAGATATTTACATGGCCACTTGGAAAGAATCCATTCTCCCTTTGTGCGCCAAACGTCCCAGTCATTACTACAGCTATTTGGATGAAGTCTGGGTCTGGCCTCACTCAGGAAAGGAGTTTGACTTCTTCCTCCAGACCTTCAATTCACACCACCCGGTCATTAACTTACAGTCGTCACCAACTAATGGGAGTTTTTTGGACTTTTTCACTTCAAGGGCCCCAACTTCTCATTGTCTCCCTTTTAAATTAAAGTGTTTTTTTTTTTTTTAAACCAACAGATTCACACTTATTGCTATATCGCACCGGTAACCATCACCCTCACGACTTCATTCTGAAGTCCCAATTATTGATCATTGATTATCTGCTCACGGGCGCAGGACTGAGGCTCGGCCACACAGATCTTATTCAAGGCCTGAGGAGAGAGGGGCTACCCCCGATCCCTTCTTAGAAAAGTTAGAAAGGAGGTTAATGCAATATCTCCGCCTTTGTGATTGTCTCGGCCCACGGAAGAAACACAAACTGGATGCAGGATGCATTGGTACACCTCTACCAGAACCAGCAGGAACCAGCAGGAACCCATTGATCAAAATCCCAAAGGACATCATGTTGCGACACAAAAACTGGTTTTAACAGATCGGTTGTACCGGTCAGTTGTACCGGTGTTGTGACAGATGGCTGTCACAACACCGGTACAAGTCCTCAACTGCTGGTGTCACACTTCACGAGGCATGGGGTGCACAAAGTATTCCTCCAGGGCCCGGCAAACTGACCCAACTAGTCCACATCTGAAAGAAGGATGGAACGTCAGCGGATAGCTTACCTGCTTTCGGTCCACCCACATGGCCTCAATCTGGGGGTCTTCTAAAGACGCTCGGGAACACGTTGAGCCTCTGGGGGCGCAAGTTATCACCCAAAACATGATTACCATGGGAATTGTTAAATTACTATTGATTAGATTGAACAGGATTTGTTCAGTTGCGGCGGATGTCGAGTTGCCCACAAGGATCCTCTTCCGGGTAAATGTTGTGTCCTCAATGAGTCTACAGCATTAAGTATGCAGAACTGGATCGAAAGAGACAAAATGTACAGAATAGAAAAATGAAACGTAATGACAAGAATACAAACTACCAGAATGCATGTGCCCTGCCTTTGCAGTAGAATATAACTTCCATTTCTCCGTCCCAGCAGGGCCTCAGCCTGACCGCCCTCTGATGCATTACACCAAGAGACCCAGCTACTCCCGGATGGTCAGGTCAAAGGTCAATAAGATGCGGCCCATTGATGCCAGGGGGAAAGCTAGGAGACTGCAGCGCATCTCTCTGCGTCGCCTGAAATGAGCCCATGGTATAAAGTCCTCACATCACATCGGCGTGATATATTTGACTGGTTTTCCAACGGGTCTCCTTCATTTCAAACACGTATCCTTAACTGTTTCTGCATTACCCACTTTGTTCTGCTGACGTCCCTCTCCTTTTTCCTGGACAACTCCCTTTTGGGGACCTGCTACTCTTAAATGAATTCTCACATAATTTCCTTATGTGTTTTTGGTTTTATTATTTAAATGTACGTTGATGAAATTAACGTATAATACTGTACATATTATTCTGTATATAGTAGGCTTTCCTATTGTTTTTCCTATTCAGTAATATTCTCATTTTGTATCACTGCTGAATCTTCTCTCCTGATATTGTCAGAAATCATCTTGTCTAAATAACTCATTACAATGTTAACATTGAGTATTTTGTGGTTATATGGTAATCAAATGTTTACATCTGATCTCCATCAGTTTACTGTAAAGATCCTGTAGTTGTACACAATGTGTTAGAAAACAGCTGGCTCTGCAAATTGTATTTAAAAACGTTGATGTGATTTAGTAGAGAGAGAATATAGAATAGAAGATGATAACAAGAACTGTGCCAGTGGGCCTCCAGCAAAGTGCCTGTGACAGAGCCAGTGATGAGGTGGCGTGACAGGAAATCAGCTACGGTCATCAACGGCATCACATGTGGATATCAGGACAGCATGAAGCCTGTAGAGCTAAACACACATATCTACCCACTACAGATGTGGTCAAACGTTTATTCCTACAAGTCAGATTTTTCTCTGATAGAAGTATCTGTTCCAATCACTCTGTCACAAAAACATTCATGAAGTTTGGTTCTTTTAGGACTTAACTATGGGTTAACAGAGAACACGACACAATCTGCTGGGTCAAAAATATACATACAGCAGTGATACTATTTGGTTACATGTCCCTTGGCCATTTTCACTTCAATTAGGCGCTTTTGGTGGCCGTCCAGAAGCTTCTCGTTGAATCTTTGACCACTCCTCTGGACAACAGAATTGGTGCTGTTCAGTTAAATGTGATGGCTCTCTGACATGGACTTGTTTCTTCAGCATTGTTCACATCCACCAGCACCAGATCCATTGGCAGCATAATACTACCACCACCGTGCTTGGCGGTAGACATGGGGGGTATTCCAGAAAGGAGGTTCAACAAACTCTGAGTCTATCCCTGAACTCCAAGTTGACTTACTCGGAGTATCCACTTCCAGAACAGCTGATCTGCGTTAGTTCATTCATTTTTTGGTTTCGTCTGACCACAGAACTTTCCTCCAGAAGGTCTCATCTTTGTTGATGTGATCAGCAGCAAACTTCAGTCGAGCCTTAAGTTGCCGCTTTTGGAGCAAGAGCTTCCTTCCTGCACGGCAGCCTCTCAGTCCATGGAGATGCCAAACACGGCTGTGGACATGGACACTGTATTCCAGCAGCTTCTACTTCTTGGCAGATCTGCATTTTGGTGGTTCTCTGTTGACTCTTCCCCCTCCTGACCAATGTTCTCTCAGCAGCAGCTGCTTTGAAATGGCTCAAAGTCACTATCCAGACTTGTTCAAGTCAAGGATTTGCTTTGTCAGATCCATGCTGAGCTTCTTTGACTTTCCCATTGTAGCGTTTGTGGGCGTTTGTATCCAATGAGCTCTATTTAAATGGCCTCAGAGTCACCAGCTGTAGTCACTTATAAGCACTCACAAGAGGTTAAGAGGCCATGAAGCTCATTGCATTGACACAACGTTCTAAGTCACCAAAATTCATCCATCCATCCATCTTCAACCGCTTATCCGGGGTCGGGTCGTGGGGGCAACAGCTCCAGCAGGGGACCCCAAACTTCCCTTTCCCGGGCCACATCTACCAGCTCTGACTGGGGGATCCCAAGGCGTTCCCAGGCCAGTGCAGAGATATAATCTCTCCACCTAGTCCTGGGTCTTCCCCGGGGCCTCTTCCCAGCTGGCCGTGCCTGAAACACCTGCCTGGGGAGGCGCCCAGGGGGCATCCTCACCAGATGCCCAAACCACCTCAACTGGCTCCTTTCGACGCAAAGGAGCAGCGGCTCTACTCCGAGCTCCTTGCGAATGGCTGAGCTTCTCACCCTATCACTAAGGGAGATGCCAGCCACTCTCCTGAGGAAACCCATTTCGGCCGCTTGTACCCGTGACCTAGTTCTTTCGGTCATGACCCATCCTTCATGACCATAGGTGAGGGTAGGAACGAAGATTGACCGGTAGATCGAGAGCTTTGCCTTCCGGCTCAGCTCTCTTTTCGTCACAACGGTGCGGTAAAGCGAGTGCAATACCGCCCCCGCTGCTCCAATTCTCCGGCCGAACTCACACTCCATCTTCCCCTCACTCGTGAACAAGACCCCGAGGTACTTGAACTCCTTCACTTGGGGTAAGGACACATTCCCTACCTGGAGTAGGCAATCCATCGGTTTCCTGCTGAGAACCATGGCCTCAGATTTAGAGGTGCTAATCCTCATCCCGACCGCTTCACACTCGACTGCGAAACGCTCCAGTGAGAGTTGGAGGTCACAGACGGAAGATGCCATCAGGACCACATCATCTGCAAAAAGCAGCGATGAGATCCGCACAGCCCCCCGAACTGTAGACCCTCCTCCCCCCGACTACGCCTCGATATCCTGTCCATGAAGACCACAAACAAGATTGGTGACAAGGCGCAGCCCTGGCGAAGGCCAACCCCCACCGGAAACTCCTTCGACTTACTGCCGAGCACCTGAACACAGCTCTCGCTTTGGGCGTACAAGGATTGGATGGCCCCAAGCAAGGACCCCCTCACCCCGTACTCCCGCAGCACCTCCCACAGTATCTCTCGGGGGACCCGGTCATAAGCCTGCTCCAAGTCCACAAAACACATGTTGACTGGTTGAGCATACTCCCAAGCCCCCTCTATGATCCTGGAAAGAGTGAAGAGCTGGTCCGTTGTTCCACGACCAGGACGAAAACCGCATTGTTCCTCTTCAATCCTTGGTTCGACTATCGGCCGAACCCTCCTTTCCAGCACCTTAGAGTAGACTTTACCTGGGAGGCTGAGTAGTGTGATACCCCTGTAATTGGCACACACTCTCTGGTCCCCCTTTTTGAAGAGTGGTACCACCACCCCGATCTGCCACTCTTTTGGCACTGTCCCAGACTTCCACGCGATGTTGAAGAGGCGTGTCATCCAAGACAACCCCCCAACACCCATTGCTTTTAGCATCTCTGGATGGATCTCATCAATCCCCGGGCCTTTGCCACTGCAGAGTTGTTTGACTACCTCAGTGACTTCCACCAGGCCAATTGACGATGATCCCTCCTCCGCCTCCAGCTCCGCCTCCACCAAAGAGGGCGTAGTAGTTGGGTTCAGGAGTTCCTCAAAGTGTTCCTTCCACCGCCCGATAACCTCCTCAGTCGCGGTCAACAGGGTCCCATCCTTACTGTACACAGCTTGGATGGTTCCCCGTTTCCCCCTCCTGAGGTGCCGGATGGTCTTCCAAAAACACTTTAGTGCCGACCGAAAGTCCTTCTCCATAGTTACCCCGAACTCCTACCATACTCGCTGCTTTGCCTCCATCACGGCAGAGGCTGCTGCCCTTCGAGCCTGTCGGTACACTGCAACTGCCTCTGGAGTCCCACCGGATATCATAACCCGGAAGGCCTCCTTCTTCAGTCGGACGGCTTCCCTGACCACCGGTGTCCACCACGGAGTTCGAGGGTTACCGCCCCTTGATGCACCTAAGACCTTGAGGCCACAACTCACCGCCGCGGCTTCAGCAATGGAGGTTTTGAACATAGTCCACTCTGGTTCAATGTCCCCTACCTCCACAGGAATGTGAGAGAAGCTCCGCCGGAGGTGTGAGTTGAAAATCTTTTGGACCGGGGCCTCCTCCAGACGTTCCCAGTTCACCCTCACTACACGCTTGGGTTTACCGGGTCTGTCCCGAGTCTTCCCCCATCCTCTGACCCAGCTCACAACCAGATGGTGATCAGTTGACAGCTCTGCCCCTCTCTTTACCCGAGTGTCCAGAACATGCGGCCTCAGATCAGACGATACGATTACAAAATCGATCATTGATCTTTGGCCTAGGGTGCTCTGTTACCACGTACACTTATGAACATCCTTATGTTCGAACATGGTGTTTGTTATGGACAAGTTATGGTCAGATCAGGGTGGCCATTCCTCCCATTCACGCCTCTCCAGTTATCTCCATTGTCGCCCACGTGCGCATTGAAGTCTCCCAGTAGGACTATGGAGTCCCCTACTGGAGCCCCATGCAGGACTCCATTCAGGGTCTCCAAAAAGGCCGAATACTCTGAGCTGCTGTTTGGTGCATATGCACAGACAACAGTCAGAGTTTTCCAACCCACCACCCGAAGGCGTATGGAGGCGACCCTTTTGTCCACTGGGGTAAACTCCAATGTAGCAGCACTCAGCCGGGGACTTATGAGTATCCCCACACCCGCCTGGCGCCTCACACCATGGGCCACTCCGGAGTAGAATAGAGTCCACCCCCTATCCAGGAGTGTGGTTCCAGAGCCGAGGCTGTGCGTAGAGGTAAGCCCCACCAGATCCAACTGATAACGCTCCACCTCCCGCACAAGCTCCGGCTCCTTCCCCCCCAGAGAGGTTACGTTCCGCGTCCCCAGAGCCAGCATCTGCCGCCCAGGTCTGTTCCGTCTAGACCCCCCACTGTCACTGCCACCCTTGTAGCAGCGCACCCGACCCCATCGGTTTCCTCCACAGGTGGTGAGCCCATGGGGAGTAGAGTGTTGGGCCGCCGCGTCACTCCTTCGGGCTGTGCCCGGCCGGGCTCCGCGGTAAACCCGGCCACCAGACGCTTGCTGTCGGGCCCTCCATCTGGGCCTGGCTCCAAATGGGGGCCCCGGGCTTCCTCCGGGCCGGGTAACTCCTTCCCTCTTCCGTTTTTTCATGGGGGTCTTGAACCATTCTTAGTCTGGCCCCTCGCCTGAGACCACTTTGCCAAGGGTAACCCTACCAGGAGCACAAGGCTCCCGACAACACAGCTCTCAGGTTCAAAGGGACACACAAACCTCTCCACCACGATAAGGTGACGGTTCCCAGAGAGGTCACCAAAATTATTCATGCTAATTCATGTTGCTGTATGTATATTTTTGACCCAGCAGATTTGATCACTTTTATTTATATATATATTTCTGTCCAACACACACTTTCAATACTCCACTTTGTAAAGAAATGAACTCCACCCTGTTATCAAATGTGTGCTTGTGCTTTGTGTGTTTTTGTTGGTGACTTAAGTGTGATATTTCGTGCAGA